GTATAGAATACAGCACGGTTCTTCAATTCCGGTCCTGGAGGGCCGAAACACTTCTGTTTTTTATTTCTACCTGGTAGTTAATTGCACTCACCTGGTGTCCCAGGTCTGAATTAGCCCCTGATTAGAAGGAGAGGATGAAAAACAGAGGTGTTTCGGCCCTCCAGGACTGGAATTGAAGAACCCTGGAATACAGTATATACATATGAGATGGGTAATGCAAGATATGTAAACATGATTGAAGTGGCATTATTAAAGTGACTAGTGTTCCATTTATTAAAGTGGCCAGTGATTTTCAAGTCTGTATGTAGGCAGCAGCCTCTCTGTGCTAGTGTTGGCTGTTTAACTGTCTGATGGCCTTGAGATAGAAGCTGTTTTTCAGTCTCTCGTTCCCAGCTTTGATGCACCTGTACTGACCTCGCCTTCTGGATGATAGCGGGGTGAACAGGCAGTGGCTCGGGTGGTAGTTGTCCTTGATTATCTTTTTGGCCTTCCTGTGACATCGGGTGCTGTAGGTGTCCTGGAGGGCAGGTAGTTTGCCACCGGTGATGCGTTGTGCTAACCGCACCACCCTCTGGAGAGCTCTGTGGTTATGTCCTGGTCCTGGGGTTACGTTCAGTTTGTTTTGATTGATATTTACAAAGCATCATCCAACAATCATCCCTTGATTAATATGTAACTTTTACCTGTTGTAGCCTTGACCGGGATTAGGCTTAATCGGGAATTGCATTTTATATAAGGTATGTCAAGACTATTACATGAAAATTAATTGATAAAAAAGGTTGTTGTTTTTTGTTTATTATCCTCATTACATCTTTATTAGCCTACATAGGCCTCTCAATAGACTGTAATATGGATCAGAGTATAGACAGGCTACGTTGATGACTAGGCTATTTATTCATTGCTCCAGCATCAGACACCATCTTGTGGTTGTAAAATAGAATTGCACCAAAAGTTTTCAATGGAAAGTGGATTTTATTTTTGAGCTCTAAAACGTTTACATTTTATTTCATTTACAAAATAGTTGAGTAAAAAATAAACACAATTTCTAGAAAAAGTTAATTAGGCCTACCTGACAATATGAGCTTCAATCAAAACGATAAGCTAGAGATGTGGCCTCCCGATCTCGGTTGCTAACGTGAGTAGAACCTTTAAGCGTTTTAACCCTTGTCTATTTATGACATTAATGTACGCCAATTATGCACTTTCATCTACAAATACTCATGCCTCCCAGACTGTTTACATAAACCCTTCAATTGATTATTTCAGGTTAATTCTGAAATCCATCTATATAACACAAGACACTGCGATAACTTTCACCCTCCCCACATAGTCAATTCTCCATCAGTTATAGAGGTACCATACTCTGGAATTCTTATCTTCATATTGCCAAAACCTCATCATCCCTCAATAAATTCAAGTGAAGACTGGGGGTCAGCCTGATAAACCAAACTACCCAATAATCCCCTCCATGTAGCCTAACTCTCTCTCTCTCACACACACACACACACACACACACTCACACACAAACACACACACACACACAGACAGACAAGCGTGCACACACACACATAATCAAACATGTTTGTTCTTGTATACTGAGTATGTCATGTACAATTATAATTCATATTCTTTGTTTAACTTAACTATTTTTTTTGTACTTATATTTGTGGTGTGGTTTTCATATAAGGCTTCCAACCTGACCTGCACGCCATTTTTATCTGTACTGTTTTGACTTTCACTTCTTTACTTCGGTGCAAATAAATAAAACCTCAAATCTCCACCTTGCCCAACACCCTAGACCCACTAAAATGTGCATACCGACTTCGAAAAGCAGACTTCGAAAAGGCATTTGATAAAGTACAACTGGGGTTTATATATAAATGCCTGGAGCATTTCAATTTTGGAGAATCTCTTATAAAATGGGTCAAAATCATGTATAGTAACCCTAGGTGTAAAATAGTAAATAATGGCTATTTCTCAGAAAGTTTTAAACTGTCAAGAGGAGTGAAACAGGGTTGTCTACTATCGGCATATCTATTTATTGTGGCCATCGAGATGTTAGCTATTAAAATCAGATCCAACAATAATATCAGGGGATTAGAAATCCAGGGCTTAAAAACAAAGGTGTCATTGTACGCTGATGATTCACGTTTTCTTTTAAATCCACAACTAGAATCACTCCACAGCCTCATAGAGGATCTAGATACATTTTCTAACCTCTCTGGATTACAACCAAATTATGACAAATGTACTATATTATGTATTGGATCACTAAAAAATAAAAATTTTACATTACCATATAGTTTACCAATAAAATGGTCTGATGGTGATGTGGATATACTCGGAATACATATCCCAAAGGAAATAAATGATCTCACTTCAATACATTTTAATAGAAAGTTAGCAAAAATAGATAAGATCTTGCTACCATGGAAAGGTAAATACCTGTCAATTTGTGGAAAAATCACTCTGATTAACTCTTTAGTATTATCCCAGTTTACCTATTTGCTTATGGTCTTGCCTACGCCTAGCGAACAGTTTTTTAAATTATATGAGAAAAAAATATTCAATTTTATTTGGAACGGCAAGCCAGACAAAATTAAACGGGCCTATTTATATAATGAATATGAATTCGGAGGACAGAAATTATTAAATATTAAAGCATTAGACCTATCACTAAAAGCTTCAGTCATACAAAAGTTATACTTAAATCCGAACTGGTTCTCTAGCAAATTAGTAAGATTGTCTCACCCAATGTTCATGAATGGCCCTTTTCCCTTTATTCAGATTACAACTACTCACTTTCAGTTATTTGAAAAGGAAATAATCTCCCAAATATCACTATTTCTAAAACAAGCCATAGAAAGTTGGTTACAATTTCAATTTAATCCTCCAGAAACGACAGAGCAAATAATGCAACAAATATTGTGGTTAAACTCAAATATACTAATTGACAAAAACCCTTCTTTTTTTTGACAAAATGTTTAAAAAAGGTATAATCTTCGTAAATGATATCATCGGTAGGACTGATGGAGTTATGTCGCACATGCAGCTAACAAAAACATATGGAAATGTCTGCTCTACCCAAAATTACAACCAAATAATTGCAGCCTTACAGCAAAAATGGAATAGGAAAGTGGAAGGGGGAGAAAGTAAGGAACTTGTCTGTCGGCCTTGCATTAAAGATCATAATTGGTTAAGGAAAACTGTGATAAATAAAAAAGTATATCAGTTTCATTTAAGGACCAAAGGATTGACAGCAAAAATGTTTATTTTCAATTCACAATCTGTAGAAACAATGAGAATAGAAAGGTTCAGAACTTTTGTAAAACATCACAGTACAGTTGAAAAATATATGGCAAATAGAAATCCAATATGGATGGTGTTAAGAGATAGATGGGAGGTGTTGAATGGAGTTGAAGGATGGGACTAATAGCAACTAACAACAAATAATAACAAGATAACTAATAATGTAAGCATACTGTGTCCATAATAAGTATATAGGTTGTAGGTTGGGAGCTTTTGTGAAAGAGCACAGTTAGAAAGATATGGCATATAGAAGCAAACCGGATGGACATCATGAAAATGATCGGAGAGGTTGAGAGTAGAGGAAGTTCAGGAGAAAAAACAAACAAAATATAATTATTGTAAAATTGTCCATAAAATGTAGATAGTAGGTACAAGCTGGAAGTAGAGGCCTAAGCATTGTTGTTCACTAGTTTACTCCAAGTAGGGAAAGGGTGGTGGGGTTGGAAAGTAATAAAGGGGAATATATATATATATATTATTTTTTTAAAGGATATGTATGTGTATGTATGTGTGTATATATATATATATATATATATATATATATATATATATGTGTGTATGTGTATTTGTATGTGTATGTGTATGTATGTATGTATATGTATGTATATATGTATGTATATATATATGTGTATATATATATATATATATATATATATATATATATATATATATATATATATATATATATATATATATTAGGGGTGTAACGATTCGTTTTAACAACGATTCGATTTGTATCACGATTCGTGGTTGTCGATACGATTCAAGGACGATATTGGTTCATTTAGAACGATACGATCCGAAACGATTCAGTGACTTGAAATCGATTCAGTAACCTTTTAGCCAAAAATTCAACCAGTGTGACTGAAATAAATACCTGGATACTGGACAGTGCAGGTGAAGTTTCCTAGATTCCTGTTTCTTGTAAGGACCGCAATGGTGGCTTGATAATTTCTCGCTCGTCGGCTTCTCCTCTGTCATCCGCCATGCTATGCTTTGTTGTCTTGGCGCCTTTGCGCTGCTGCTGGCGCGATGACGTCACGGATAGGCAGAGTGAATCGAGTAATGTTTAAAGCCTTTATCATTAAAAGTGCTAAGAAAAAACATCCATATAAAGTCTGACGTGCTTAAATCCAATGGGTTATTTCCTAGTATCGATACAATCGATTTATTACATTTTAAAACGATGTTAGATCGATATATGTTGTCCAAAAGGCCAACTCGCCGAGCACAGATCGATGTAGTTGGATCATAGGAATATAAATCGATACATCGATGTAGTAGATGGATCGTTACACCCCTAGTAAAAACACTCCAGTGCGCAAAACAGGGGCACTGGAAAATACAAGGCACACAGGGAATATTCCCGGCGATACAAAATACATGGAGCTCCACCGAGCTTCTCTCTCCTCCACAATAAACAATCACATACAAAGACAAGGGGGCAGAGGGAACACTTATACAGGTACTAATGAGGGGATATGAACCAGGTGTGTGTAATAAACAAGACAAAACAAATGGAATGATGAGATGAGGAGCGGCAGTGGCTAGAAGGCCGGTGACGACAAACGCCGAAGCCTGCCCGAACAAGGAGAGGGGCAGCCTCGGAGGAAGTCGTGACAGATACTGTATATTTTTGAAAGAATACTATATTTCCCTTGACAGAGTAATGCTGAATGTAAAAAATGGCTCAACTTACCCCACTCTCCCCTACACATGATGTAACATTTGTTTACAATTGACAGATAATGTTTAAATGCAAAATACTTTATTTTGTGATGGGGCCCTCAGCTCAGTTTGGGAACCTTAATCCAGGCTGGACAGCAGGAACTCAACCTGTATTTCTAGATTCCGCATCACCTCCCCCGAGAGCCTCTCTGGGCTTTCATAGATTGACTCATTGAGGTTGAAGATGGATTGTAGCCATGCCTTCATCTGGCCCTGTTGACAACAGACACATCATCAACTATTATTGAGAGAGAAGAGAGAGAAAGGATAGAGAAGAGAGAGAGGGGAGAGAGAGAAAGAGGAGAGAGAGAGAAAGAGAGAGGAGAGAAAATAGAGAAAAGAGAGAGAGAGAGGAGAGAGAGAAAAGAGAGGCACATTTTTTTTTAAATTTAACAACCAGAATATCCAATAAAAACTTTTCCATGAAAATTTTTCAAAAAGGAAAATAAAATCATTTCTCTGGCCTCTCTCCCCGGATGTTGACTACTTCTTTTTCCCGTAAATGCCCAAAATATGATAATTAAACAACATTTCTTCGGGTTGCTGGGAATTTTTCCAGAAATTTCTCTCCACGGGGGGAAAGGGCCCAAAATCCCAGGGGGGGAAATCAATGACTAAACCTGGCTGCTTGACATAAACCGGGAAAAGGGAGGTTTGGAGGAATAAGAGAATAGATAAGGGGTAGCGGGGAGGAGAGAAAAGAGAGAAAGAGAGAAGAGAGAGAGAGGGGAGGGGAGACAAATTACCTTAACGAGGAGGTAGAAGTTCTCAGCAGCCTCTGTCCAGGCTCCTCCAGGAGGGTCAATCCTCATTATGACTTGCAGGAGCAGATAAAGGAAGCTACCAGGCTCCTGGAGAAGGAACAGGGGACATGAGTGAGTGTCTACAGATCTGATATGACAACAGTGTGTATAGCATAGATAAACAACAGGATGTTCCATTCTTAGGGCCACTTACAGATATAGGAAGAGATGTCTTTCCTTCTAGAAGGCTTAGTAGAACGAATTCATAAAAAACATCTGCGAAGTTGATGCGGTCGATCTGAAGTCAAACAAATAGGATAATTACATAATCTTCATTGACAAGCACTTTAGAAAGTCTCATTGAGTAGATGTTAGATGAGAAGACGGTGCCTGCAGCTAACGCTCAAGCTTGCATGTAGACCTACTCCTACGAGAGCCATCTCCTGCTCTAGTCGCTCCCTGTTTGCTGGCTCATTAATGAAGTTCACCAGTAGGTCGTAGGCCTGCTGAAACTGCCTCACATCCTCAAAACAAAACAATCATAAAATTCCTTAAAACTTAGATCATAAACTCAAAGATTCAGGTCTGTAATTCAAAGGGCCTCCGATTGTTTGGCTAGTATGACGTTGAAACTTTTCAACTAAACCCTATGAATCACTGTTGCCTAAAGGTAACCCACTGTGCAAGAACTGGTTGAATCAATGTTGTATCAATAAAAAATGTCAATGTGATGATGTTGAATCAAAGTGGGAAACTGATTGGATTTGAAAGAAGTCATCAACGTAAGGGAATTTCGTCTTTTAACCTAAATCCAATTACGTTAATTTTGGGGGGGATTTCACATTGAATTCACATTAGTTGACAACTCAACCAAATGTAAATCAAAACGAGACGTTGAAATGACATCTGTGCCCAGTGGGAACTATATATCTGGTCTGATGAACGTTGCACAATTATGTAATTGGTTACCTGCTGGTTGAGCTCGGATAGTCCACTCAACACCATCCTCCCAGCATGGGTGAGGTAATTGAGGGAGGTACTGTCTGAGGATGTCAGAGCCTGTGAGAACAAGACAGTACATTTACAAATAGTCCAGAAATGTTCATGAAGTGAAATACAAAAGGTGCTAAATTCACATTTTCTCACCTCCATAGCACGTCTGATAGCGGCCAGCCTCAGAGAGAAGTTGGTTGTCCCTTGGTTTTCAAAGTAACGCCTGTAAATAGAAATGTTCAATAACAAATGTTCAACCTAAGAAGCTAAAACATCAGTGCCATGAAATTAAGAAATAATTTTATGTTAGCCTATATTATAACTGCAGGATTCAGAAAGACCATACCAATGTAGGATCTTAATTTGATCACTCTTTTGTTGCTGAGAATTTTCCTGCACGGCAGGAAATGCAAACTTGTAGCGTATTTGGAATTTTCAAGTTTGTAATTTCCACTTTGAAATTTTAGACTCGATTTGCCCTAACGAAAAATGTATCCTGTTGCTGCAGGATTATTTTCCTGCTGTAGCAAACTGTCTCAAATTAAGATCCTACATCTGTATAACTACAATATTGGGCAGATTATTTCAAAGCAAAGGTTTTTACTATAGATGAACACATGAAAGCGAACCCACCGCAACTGGGGCACATCTGCAGCATTATTTTGCTCCTCCACAAACTCCTCCTCAAACTCCTAAAACAGACATCACATTAACTTAAACTCTACTAAACTGCATTTCACCTGCAACATCAACTGAAGCAGACAAAACATTCAGTGACATCATAACAATACTTTCATCTTGACCTAACAACTTGACCCTTGACAGACAACACAAACCTATCGATACCAAAACAATGACACACACCTGTACACACAAGTACAAATGAAATAAGAATTATTGACTGTAGAAAGAGTTTTACCTGAGGAGTGCTGTCAGGGGTCTGGTCCTGGTCCTGGGTGGAGTGGTAAGGTGGAGGGGGACTGGGAGGGGAATCGGAAGGGAAAGGGGGAGGCGGAGAATTCTGGGGGAACTGGTGAGAGGAGCCAGAGGACGGCTCATGAGGGGTGGTGATGATGTCAGAGGTGGAGAACTGATATGCCATCATCTCATCCCCCCTCTCCTGGTACCCCTCCACTGTGGTGGAGATATCCACCTGCTGTTTAACACACAACATGTGACACTGTCAGCCCAACACTGAAAACCACCATATTGAAAACCCCTCAACCAAACACTGAAATAAATCATAACACAGAGAAACAACGGGGTGTACCTGGGCATCCTCATAATAGGTGAACTCAGACCTCCTCTTGACAAGGCCGGACATGAGTCCATGGATCCTTCTACCAAGGAACTAAAAATGAGGCAAGAGATTAGAACGTGTAATTTCATTTTCTGTCAACATGTATTTATTCAAATAGGTAAATGGACATTTGCCACTTTACATTTTTTCTGTGAAAAATTGCCTGACTGTACCTTAATACCAATCAGCTTCTTGTTGGTGAGGACCACCTGGACGAGACCCTTTAAAAGAGACAGAGAAACATTACATTTCATCCAGGAAATATAAGTAGACCTATAGCATGTGCGTCATTTGACACAAATCAGGTGCATTTGAGACGAAAGACCAGTTGAGAATCTCTCACCCATGGGTCCAGGATTTTTTCCTGGATGACTCTGCTCCACCACAGCTGCTTCTCCACTCCCCTCACAATGCACAGGTGATGCATGTCCTCTTCATTTTGCTATAAAGAAAAAACTCCTTCAGTCTCCAGACCTCTCTCTATATGTTAGCTGTAGATGTCTATAACATTTGGCAGGCGATTTCAGTTCTGAGTATAATCCCTGGCAGTGATATAGAGCCCACATGATGTTCGTACGACAAGTTTCCCCTAGGTTTCAATTAGGGACAGACATACAAAAGAAAACCCAGAGACAATTGGGAGTTCAAATACACAGGTGTGTTCATAAATGTTAAGAATATGTCTGAAGTACCTGCACTCGTCCATAATGGATATTCCAGTAATGGAAATGAAACGAACCCCAGTTCCCAACCAGCTGCAACTTCTCATAGGGAAAACCAGAGTCTTCCCTATTTGGCTGAAAAACAAAGACATCCCCTAATTATAGAGATTGCTCTGTGATTAATAAGACACACAATTGTGGAGATAGAGGACATGGTAATGTGTACTATTACTAATCAGCTATGACTGTCTAATAATGTGATTGACTACCTGTGAATGGCTATCTGAAGGTGCTGACAGTTCGTCAAGCACTAGCCTCCCAGCTTCAGTGAGGTGAATGGTAGGCTCCTCAATAACCAATTTGGAAGTCTGTGAAAAAAAAGGGAACAGGGTAAAGTAAATTCTCCCTATAACATCAGATGAGCTTTGGTTAATAATGTGTTTGGTTACCTGTGTGTTTAACACTGCAAGCTCTGTTACCAGCATTCTCCCAGCACGAGTGAGGTAGTAGACTGGTTTGGCCTTGGAGAAGACAGGCTATGAAGACAAGGGAATATGTTTTTTCATTATGTGGTTTTATAGAAAACTAGTGACTTGATGTTAATCTTTAATATCCTCTAAAGACCAGAGAGTATCAGAATGGATAGACTCACAAAGATAGGAACACACAAGGGTCCAGACCAAGGGATTAAAGCCAGACAGGACCGGTGCCCAACCTCCTCATCCACATACTAAGGAACAAGACAGGATTAAATTAAGAGTCAGTTTGAATGATAGACAGGTAGCCTATAGGACTGACAGACTGGAATAGGGAGGATCGCAAGAGGAGGCCACTGCATGATAGATTCTAAGACAATTGGCAGTTGAAATACACATGTCTGTGTTCAAAGGTTAAGGAAACATCTGAGGTACCTGCCTATGAATGGTTACCTGTTCATTTTGAGAGGACAGTTCCTCCCATACCATCCTCCTAGCAGGAGTGAAACTGATGATAATGGGCTGCTCCATTGTGAAAATCTGAGAAAATGAGGGAACAGCTTTAAAGATATCAAAGTATTCTACTAGTGGATACTGAAGGTAATTATCCCTATTAGATCAGATGAGTAATGGTTAATAATCTGAATGGTTACCTGTGTGTTTAACATTGCCATCTCTCTCACCAGCATCCTCCCAGCGTGGGTAAGAAAATAAATTGGCTGCAGTTTGACAGGCTATAAAAAAGGGAATATGTTTACAGAAATGTATTTCCAGAAGTTTCTTTTAGAAAAAGTTATGTTTATGTTTAAGCCCCCCTAAAGACCAGAGAGTATCAGAATGGATGGACTTACAGCGTTTGAAACCCACAGAGGTCCAGACCAAGGGATTAAAGCCAGACAGGGCTGCTGCCGAACCTCCTCATCAACGTACTAAGGAACAAGACAGGATCAATTTAAGAGTCAGTTTGAATGATAGACTGGTACTGTATAGGAGTAAAATATTGGCATAGGGAAGATTGCAAGAGGAGGCCACTGCAATGATAATAGTTGAAATACACAGGTCTGATATAAATGTTAAGAACATGTCTGAAGTACCTGCAGATGAATGGCTACCTCTTCAAGCTGAGAGGACAGTTCATCCAATACCATCATGCCAGCACGAGAGATGAAAATGTGCTGCTCAATCTTGCAAATCTGTAAGAAAATGAGGGAACAGTTTTTAAGGGCATCAAAGTATCCCACTACCATAGTAGATACTGAAGGTAATCCTGCCAATTAGATAAAATGAGCTTTGTCCAATAATCTGCATGGTTACCTGTGTGTTTAACACTGCCAGCTCTCTCACCAGCATCCGTCCAGCATGGGTAAGGTAATAAGTTGGCTGCAGTGTTACAGACTATTACAAAAATAGGGAATATGTTTACAGAAATGTATTTTCATATTGTTCTACAGAAAGCATCATGTTTATGTTTAAGTTACATAAACCAGTCTAAAGACCAAAGAGTATCAGAATGGATGGACTTACAGAGCTGGGAACCCACAGAGGACCAGACCAAGGGATTAAAGCCAGACAGGTCCGCTGCCCAACCTCCTCATCCACATACTAAGGAACAAGACAGGATCAAATTAAAAGTCAGTTTGAATGATAGACAGGTAGCCTATAGGTCTGACAGACTGCTATAGGGAGGATCACAAGAGGAGGCTACTGCATGATAGATTCTGAGACACTACACAGGTCTGTGTTGAAAGGTTAAGGAAACATCTGAGGTACCTGTATATGAATGGCTACCTGTTCATTTTGAGAGGACAGTTCATTCCATACCATCCTCCTAGCAGGAGTGAAACAGATGGAAATGGGCTGCTCCACTGTGAATATCTGTGAGAAAATGAGGGAACAAACATCAAAGTATTTCACTACCGTAGTGGATACTGAAGGTAATCCTGCCTATTAGATCAGATGAGCTTTGTCCAATAATCTGCATGGTTACCTGCGTGTTTAACACTGCCAGCTCTCTCACCAGCATCCTCCCAGCATGGGTAAGGTAATATGTTGGCTGCAGTTATAAAAAATAGGGAATATGTTTACAGAAATGTATTTCCATATTGTTCTTCAGAAAACGTCATGTTTATGTTTAAAGTACATAAACCAGTTTTAAGACCAGAGAGAAGACCAAAGAGTATCAGAATGGATGGACTTACAGAGCTGGGAACCCACAGAGGTCCAGACCAAGGGATTAAAGCCAGACAGGGCCGGTGCCCAACCTCCTCAACCACATACTAAGGAAGAAAATCAGGATCAATTTATGAGTCAGTAAAATGACAGTTTGAATGACAGATTGTTATTGAACCAATCCTGCTAATGAAGCAGTATTGTTATAGCCTGGGTGCCAGTCTGTTTCAGCTCTCTGTCCACTCCTTATGGGATTGTGATGCCAATATCATATTGCCACGATGGGAATTGGCAAGAGAGCAGAAAGACTGGCACCCAAGCTATTGATAGGCCTGCAGCATTCTTACCTGAACAAGGACTGGGTCCTCCTGGTCCAGGGTGGGCTCATTATCTTTATGAAAAACAATAAAGGATTGTTTTCTCTAAGTTTAAGAAATACTAGCTACAAGACACCAGACATCTGTCCATGTAGTTAGGCTGATCATATATTTACTTGTGTTTTATATTGTATGACATCAAATGTATTTATGTGTCTGCATAATGTACCAACATGTTCAATTAAACCTAAAGCAAAGGTTTGGTTTCAAAGGAGCAAGTTTGTTTGTTGTTGTTAATCTAGGGCTACACTGTAAAAAATGTCATCACCATGATTGCTACCTAAATGACACCCTATTCCCTATTTAGTGCACTACTTTTGACCAGCGCCTTTTAACCATAGAACTATGGGTCCTGGTCAAAATAAGAAATAGGGTATTGGGTGGCATTTGGGACTATTACTATTTAGACATTGTCAAATATGTAAACTTACCCTCCTCAACCGTGACAACACGGTCCACGCTCTCCACGGTGGCCAGTGCATCCTCACCGATACCGTAATATTTGCTATAAAAGTAGACTGCCGAACCGGACGCAAACAACAGGCCAGCTGCACTCAGAAGCGGCCTCTCGCGGAGGAATCTCAGCGGGGTCGCTGTCAACAAACGACTGAACATAGACCTACTCTATCTATATATATATATATATATATATATATATATATATATATATATATATATATATAAACATGGGGGATTGGAAGTGATGCAGACAATTACATTGATGGAAGTTACAATCTATCTTCAATATTAAGCCGAAAAAAATAAAAAAAAGTGCATACCGCCCCAACAGATCCACGGACGACGCAATCGCCATTGCACTACACACCGCCCTATCCCACCTGGACAAGAGGAATACCTATGTGAGAATGCTGTTCATCGACTACAGCTCTGCTTTCAACACCATAGTGCCTTCCAAGCTTGTCACTAAGCCCTGGGTCTGAACTCCTCCCTGTGCAACTGGGTCCTAGACTTCCTAACGGGCCGACCCCAGGTGGTGAGGGTAGGCAACAACATCTCCGCCACGCTGATCCGCAACACGGGGGCCCCACAGGGTTGTGTGCTCAGCCCCCTAATGTACTCCCTGTTCACCCATGGCTACACACGACTCCAATTCAATCATCAAGTTTGCTGACAACACGACAGTGGTAGGCCTGATTACCATGAACGACGAGAAAGCCTACAGGGAGGAGGTTAGTGCCCTGGCGGAGTAGTGCCAGGAAAATATGCTCTCCCTCAACGTAAAAAAAAACAAGGAGCTCCAAGAGACAGAAGAGGGAGCACACCCCCATCCACATTGACGGGGCTGCAGTGGAGATGGCCAAAAGCTCCTTGGCGTGCACATCACTGAGGACCTGAAATGGTTCCACCACAACGACACTGTGGTGAAGAAGGCACAACAGTGTCTCTTCAACTTCAGGCGGCTGAAAAAATGTGCCATGGCTCCTAAGACCCTCACGAACTTCTACAGATGCACCATTAAGATCATTTTGCGGGGCTACATCACCACCTGGTACGGAAACTGCACCGCCCTCAACCGCATGACTCTCTAGAGGGTGGTGCGGTCAGCCCAACGCATCACCGGGGAAACGCTGCCTGCAGGGCCGGATTAAGAAATCATAATCCACAGTCATTTTTTATAAACTATTGATCCTGTGTGGATAAATTATGCTCTCTGGTGTATTTTGATCAGTGAGAGCGGGCTCCTGTGGTTGGATAATATATATATATATATATATTTATTTTTTTATTTTTTATTATGCAATATCTATTTTAATATTTGTTGCCTCTTGGGCCCCAGCCCCTGACTCACACAATTGACTAGTAGTCACATTTATTTATTATGCAGTTTATTTTTTATTAATCAGTTACCTAATCAAGGCATAGCCCCTCCAGTTACCCACGTGGGCCCCCTACCTCCTCTCCTCCCCCCATCTGACGATAAGCAGAGTGGCAGCAGGCTGTTTACACTTATTGAGAGTGGGCTCCTGAGTCCACCTGTGGTTGGCGGTTGCAGGAAAAAAATACAAAATATATACTACATATATAATATATACTGTTTTTTTTTTTTGGGGGGGGGGGGGGGGGTTGGGTATTCTTTCTATTTCGATGCATTTAATCCTATCCGATAGGCTTAATCCAGATAGATAACTTTTGAAAAACTGGGCCAAGGCCATCAGACTGTTGAACAGCTATCACTAGCCGGCTACCTGTCCAGTACTCTGCCCTGCACCTTGGGACTAATGCCCCATGTAAACAGTCATTGAACGCTGGTCACCTCATATTCTGTTTATATACTGTGAATGTATATACTATATTCTTGACATACCTAATATACCTGCCACCGTACATTTTCTTTTCCAAATTATACTGAACAAAAATATAAACACAACATGTAAAGTGTTGGTCCCATGTTTCATGAGTTGAAATAAAAGATCCCAGAAATGTTCCATACACACAAACACCTTATTTCTCTAAAATGTTGTGCACAAATGTGTTTATATCCCTGTTAGGGGCATTTCTCCTTTCCAAGTTAATCCATCCACCTGACAGGTGTGGCATATCAAGAAGCTGATTAAACAGCATGATCATTACACAAGTGCACCTTGTGCTGGGGACATTAAAAGGCCACTCTAATGTGCAGTTTTGTCACACAACACAATGCCACAGCGTGTATGGTGTTGTGTGGGCGAGCGGTTTTCTGATGTCAACGGTGTGAACAGAGTGCCCCATGGTGGCGGTGGGGTTATAGTATGGGTAGGCATAAGCTACGGACAACAAACACAATTGCATTTTATCGATGGCAATTTGAATGCACAGAGATACCGTGATGAGATCCTGAGGCCCATTGTTGTGCCATTCGCGTTGCATGAGGCAAATGGTGGTAAAAACAGATACTGACTGGTTTTCTGATCCACGCCCCTACTTCTTTTTTTAAAGGTATCTGTGTATTCCCAGTCATTTGAAATCCATAGATTAGGGCTTAATGAATTTATTTCAATTGACTGATTTCCTTATATGAACTGTAACTCAATAAAATCTTTGAAATTGTTGCATTTATATTTTTGTTCGGTGTATATACTGTCTATGCACACCACATATTTATATTGTGGTATCACTCACTAATATACATTGAGCATATAAAACATTAGGAACACCTTCCTAATATTGAGTTGCACCCCCCTTTTGCCCTCAGAACAGCCTCAATTCATTGGGGCATGGACTCTACAAGGTGTCGAAAGCATCCACAGAGATGTGAAAAACCCAGCAGCATTGCAGTTCTTGACACACTCAAACCGGTGCGCCTGGCACATACTACCATACCCCGTTCAAAGGCACTTAAATATTTTATCTCATCCATTCACCCTCTGAATGGCACACATACACACTCCATGTCTCAATTGTCTCAAGACTTTAAAATCCTTCTTTAACCTGTCTCCTCCCCTTCATCTACACTGATTGAAGTAGATTTAACAGGTGACATCAATAAGGGATCACCTGGCCAGTCTATGTCATGGAAAGAGCAGGTGTTCCTAATGTTTTGTACACTCTGTGTATCAACTTGGATTGTTATTTCTTATTTTAATTTTTTTAAATTGTGTATTTGTATTGTATTTGCGAGACATCCTACCGCGAACACGCTAGTAACATAGGCATTTCGCTGCACCTGCCATAACACGTGCACATTTTTGTATGCGAAAACTCATCTCAACTACCTCCTACCCCAGTACACTGACTCGGTACCGGTACTCCTTGTATATAGCCTCATTTTTATTTTATTGTGTTATTTTATTGTGTCACAATTTTATTTTAATAAATTTGCTTTTTTTTTTTTTTTTTTACTTTTTAACTGCATTGTTGGGAAAGGGCTCGTAAGTAAGCATTTTACGGTCAAGTCTACGCATGTGACAAATACCATTTGATTTGAATTTTATTTTACCCTTACATAACCTTAACTATTTTAATTTCAAATTCAATCGGGTGGCGTCAGCGGTGGACATCCCAAGGGTCCCGGATAACAAGGACCGTTCTCTTCTTCACTTCACGAGAGTGGCTCGCGCGACGCCAAGATCACAGCTGTCAATCACTCATCAGCATCAGCATCCGACTGGAGCGCTAGCGAGCTAATAGTAACGTTAGCTGCTTAGTTACATTATTTGTGTCTATTTAACGCGTTACACTTTCCTCCACTTGAAACATGGATATGTTTGTTTCAAATGTGAAATGTGAGTTTATAGCAACTTTTTCTGACGTAAAACGTTGGAATGCCTAACGTTAACGTTAGCTAGCTAGCTAGCTAGCCAGCTGACTAGCCAGAGCTGGCGAAATTAACATACGCTACCTTCCAGTGTGCTTTAGTTTACCCTTCAAAAAATTTAGCAAAGTTTACAAATATTGCTAAATTACCGGTATATTAGTTATATTACTCATTTGAAATTCGCAAAAGTTTCCTTGAAATGTGTTAGCATTACATGAGACGTCGATGGTTTGTGGCGAACAGTAGTGCTGCCTCGAACGCGATGCCAACCTGTCACGTGTCACTCAACAGGCGTACAGTACACCTGTATGTACTTTTTTTCATGGTGGTTTTTTGCATAATATTTTTTTTATTTATTAAAGGTCTCACAGAGCGCCTGCTGCAGAAACAACTGGCTAATACAGATGAGGTTATTGAGAAGCTATTTTGTGAAACGTCTGTGTTAGAAGACTTCCCGAGAGTATCACCACTGGATCCACAGGTTGGTGGCCAAACTTAGAGCAGTATTTTTCTTCTTCTCTAATGAAACCATTGAAAGGTGCTTGTGTTTTAGTCAATACATATATTAGTCTATAGAAAATTAGCTAGTTTGCTAATTGCCACTTCAAATTAACATATTCTCTAGCTTGAAGAAATTGCCATCCAGCTGTGGAATTGGGCAGTCACCAAACGTGTTGGAACAGCCATAAATGAACACCAGAAAGCAAAAGGTAGCCTAATACTTTTTTTTTGCTGTTAAATACCAGATTTATGCCATTGTCATCATTACTGACTTTCTCCTTCTGTGACGCATTCCTCCCGGTCTGTCTGTGGTATCAGTGCGTCATGTTGCATGCAGACTGCTGTACTCCTGTGAGCCTGAGAATCCAGCAGTGGGCGCTGTGCGCAAACAGATCCTGGTCAGTGAAATGGCTCATGAAATAAACCACTGCACTGTAAGGCCTACGTCTGTGTTACTGTAATTACACTAAAACATTTTCTTTACAGATGGCCAGCAAGACAGGAAGAACCTGGCTAGACTGTAAAAAGCCCCAGCTAGCTGATAACTTCCTAAGCCTTGCTGTCAAAGTAAAGTTGAATATGTTAAACTATACCCTATAACTCTGTACAGTATATAAGAGAGTTGATAACCTTCTAGAACTTTTGTCATAACACTGATTTCACATGTTCATAATATTATTTGTCCAGAGTTTGGAGACACTGTACAACCGACTAACATCCCGAGGCGATGGAGGGGCAGACATCAACACATCGAAAGGAGATGTGGAGAAGGACCTGCTTCGAGTTCTGTCTTACCAAGCAGAGTCGGTGAGCTAGAGATGGATTCACCATCTAACACGTACAACGTTAGGCTAATTTGTATTTGTGAAATTTGGCAACTGAAAGTGACATTTTTACACATCTGCAGAATGAAGAAGAAAATAGTTTTTTGTTCACATATAGCTTTACCTTACTGATGTACTGGTAGATAATGATAGTTTGTATTCCCACGCAGGCACAGGCTCAAGAGAATCACCAAGAGGCTGTGGCCTGCATGCAGCGCTGTAAAGACATGCTACTGCGGCTCCCCAAAGAGGTAGGATACAAAAAGCACACTCAACTCAAATATTACTTTGATAAAGCACTAGTGTTTTTACTGTCCCGATCTTGCCCCCCCCCCCAAAGACAGGCTATCTCTCTCTCATGTGCTATAACTTCGGAGTGGATGCCTACAATCTGAAAAAGTATGAGGAGAGTTCATTCTGGTTGAGGTAATAGCATTGATTTGGCTTGACAAAATATTACTGACATAAAGGCATTACAGAAGCTCAACATCTGAAATATGTCACTTATGTTAATTACAGTATATGATAAAGTGCAGTATATGAATATCTACACTGTTGTCTTTTCCAGCCAGAGTTATGACATAGGGAAGATGAATATAAAATACTCCCCTGGCGCTGAAGTGCAAGTAAGAGAGTATTGCAGTTTATACATACCATAGTCTCTTCAGTTCTTTCACTAGTACTTCTTGGTTATTAGAAACACCAACAGCTCCAATGTTTCCAATTAGTTTTAGAGTAAATTGCTGAACTTCCTTCTTTAGGCCAAGGTCCTGAGGCTCCTTGCCACTGTCTATCTAAAGTGGGACTGTCAGCAGTTTCAGGAGAAGGCACTCAATGCTGTGAACTTAGCCAACAAGGTAACCCCCCCCCATCACTCTTGTTGATACTTTTTAATATTAAGCAACATTATTTGGCTTTCGATTAAAACTCAGCAATTTGACAGGAAAGTGTGCATCCCTCTGGGCTCTACCTGAAGATCAGAATTCTACTAAGATGTGGGGCTCAGGATGACCACATAAGAGCTGGTGAGTAGGACATTACCCTGCTTCTCCCTCTTTCTGCTCTTTTGAATGGCTTGAGTGGGAGTTTTAAGGACTCTCAAGTCCTCCATTTACAGTACTGTATAATGCATTACCATTTCCTCTTGCTGTCTCCATTCAGGAGTGACAGAGCTGCTGGAGTCAGAGGTTCCTCTGGAAGTATGTCTGAGCACAGTGAAACTACTCATGGCTGAAGACAGGTAGACACACTGATCATCTTAACAAATTGCTGATCAGATATCCACTTGTGCCATTGTATTCATTCCAATGAAATTCAACATTGTATTGATATATTGCATTGATATGCATTGTGTGTTGTTCTGTTGATATGTGTTCCCAGAGAGACATTGGCCTTTGACTACCTGAAGAGGGTGTGCCAGCACTTTGAGTCGTCCCCTGAGCTGGGCAGTGCCCTGGTCCTGCACATTGAGCTGCTGCTGCAGAGAGGCAAGGAGCTGCTGGGGAAACAGAAAATAGAGGACATCATCACAGGTACTACAGTGGTGGTGGAGGACATCATCATAGGTACTACAGTGGTGGTGGAGAACATCATCATAGGTACTACAGTGGTGGTGGAGAACATCATCACAGGTACTACAGTGGTGGTGGAGAACATCATCATAGGTACTACAGTGGTGGTGGAGAACATCATCATAGGTACTACAGTGGTGGTGGAGAACATCATCATAGGTACTACAGTGGTGGTGGAGAACATCATCACAGGTACTACAGTGGTGGTGGAGAACATCATCATAGGTACTACAGTGGTGGTGGAGAACATCATCATAGGTACTACAGTGGTGGTGGAGAACATCATCATAGGTACTACAGTGGTGGTGGAGAACATCATCACAGGTACTACAGTGGTGGTGGAGGACATCATCACAGGTACTACAGTGATGATGGTAGTGGTGATGATGATGAGGCTGGTGGTGGTGATGATGGTAGTGATGGTGGTGATGGTGGTGATGGAAGTGGTGGTGATGATGGTGGTGATGGTAATGATGGTGGTGGTGATGATGGTGGTGATGATGGTAGTGATGGTGGTGGTGATGGTGGTGTTGATGAGGATGATGGTGGTGATGATGGTGATGGTGATGATTATGATGGTGGTGATAATGATGGTGGTGGTGATGATGGTGATGCAGTGAAATGAAAATGCAGTTGTAAGATTGCTGATGATTCCCTTCTCAGGCCACTACACTGGTAAACAGCTGTCTCCTCAGACTCTCACCTGTCTACATCTCCTGCTGTGGGACAAAGCCTCCAAGAACTTTGAGGTACAGTAGAACTGCTGAAAATAAGTACATTGGTCTGTCATAGTGAAGTCTGTATGTGTTGGGATATGAGTCATTTTCCTGTTCCAGGTTAAGAACTTCTCAGAGGCTCTGCAGTGGTATAACTACTCATTGAGTTTCTACAAGGCTGGCCAGATGGAGCCCAACCTGGCCAAGCTTCAGAGGAACAGAGCCTCCTGCTTACTGCAACTGCAGCAGCTGGACAAGGTGACACAATAGTGTGACAACAGAGACACACAGCATGTTGTAATGATTATATTTGTGTGTCATCTTTGTGTGTACTTTGTGCATTCCTGTGTGTGTGTGTGTGTCAGGCCAAAGAAGCAGTAAAGGAAGCAGAGAGATGTGATCCAAACAGCATCTTCACTCAGTTCAGTGTTTACAAGATTGCTGTCCTGGAGAACAATGTGGAGAAAGGTAACAGCATATTACAGGAGTGTGGTGAGTTTTAGGATTGACTACATGTATTCAGGCCCTCTGTGCTTCTCAGTCTGAAGCACTGTTTCTATCAGCTGCAGAAGCAGTGAAGGCCATCGGGGCTCTGGCCCAAGGTCCTGTGACCAGTGAAGACAGACTGCTGGTGGCTGAAAATGCTGCCTCCAACCTCCTCAGTCTCGCTGCTCAGATCGCTCTGGAGGTGGATCCTCATTACTGACCTACCTCTAGGACGGATGGTGATATTGTTGCTGATTATGGTCATGATAATGAGGGTGATGACATTTCGAGAGCTTGGGACTAAAAGGTTCTATCTGCATTTTTGACAACATTTAGTTATTGACATAGCCTTGTTCTGTTCAATGTTCTCTACCTATATAGTAAATACCCCAATTAATGTTCCTAAATTCAAAATAATACAATATAAAAGTTGCTGACATCATTCAAACCAATAAGGGTTTGGAACTTTAAAGCCAATTACCTCATAATCATCTTTTTGCAGATAGAACCTTATAGTCCCAAGCTCTCGAATTCTTGAAGGAGAAAAGACCCATCATCATCATCATCATCATCCTCATCATCATCGTCATCCTTTGTTTCCTTTCCCTCCAGAATGAGCAACAAGACACAGCCATGAAGGCTCTGGAGAGTTTGTGTGAACACTCAAAAGATGAAGCTCAGGTTCTCACTGCTCTCCGGTCAGTTACTAACACACACACACACAGCATCAGTAAACTCTTGTCCAGCGAGATCAGGAACACTATGTGAATGGTCCATCATAAGACATACAGTCGTGGTCAAAAGTTTTGAGAATGACACAAGTATTGGTCTTCACAAAGTTTGCTGCTTCAGTGTTTTTAGATATTTTTGTCAGATGTTACTATGGTATACTGAAGTATAATTACAAACATTCCATAAGTGTCAAAGGCTTTTATTGACAATTACATTACGTTTATGCAAAGAGTCAATATTTGCAGTGTTGCCCCTTCTTTTTCAAGACCTCTGCAATCCGCACTGGCATGCTGTCAATTAACTTCTGGGCCACATCCTGACTGATGGCAGCCCATTCTTGCATAATCAATGCTTGGAGTTTGTCCGAATTTGTGGGTTTTTGTTTGTCTACCCGCCTCTTGAGGATTGACCACAAGTTCTCAATGAGATTAAGGTCTAGGGAGTTTCCTGGCCATGGACCCAAAATTTCGATGTTTTGTTCCCCGAGCGACTTAGTTATCACTTTTGCCTTATGGCAAGGTGCTCCATCATGCTGGAAAAGGCATTGTTCGTCACCAAACTGTTCTTGGATGGTTGGGAGAAGTTGCTCTCGGAGGATGTGTTGGTACCATTCTTTATTCATGGCTGTGTTCTTAGGCAAAATTGTGAGTGAGCCCACTCCCTTGGCTGAGAAGCAACCCCACACATGAATGGTCTCAGGATGCTTTACTGTTGGCATGACACAGGACTGATGGTAGCGCTCACCTTGTCTTCTCCGGACAAGCTTTTTTCCGGATGCCCCAAACAATCGGAAAGGGGATTCATCATAGAAAATGACTTTACCCCAGTCCTCAGCAGTCCAATCCCTGTACCTTTTGCAGAATATCAGTCTGTCCCTGATGTTTTTCCTGGAGAGAAGTGGCTTTCTCGCTGCCCTTCTTGACACCAGGCCATCCTCCAAAAGGCTTCGCCTCACTGTGCGTGCAGATGCACTCACACCTGCCTGCTGCCATTCCTGAGCAAGCTCTGCACTGGTGGTGCCCCGATCCCGCAGCTGAATCAACTTTAGGAGATGGTCCTGGCGCTTGCTGGACTTTCTTGGGCGCCCTGAAGCCTTCTTCACAACAATTGAACCTCTCTCCTTGAAGTTCTTGATGATCCGATAAATGGTTGATTTAGGTGCAATCTTACTAGCAGCAATATCCTTGCCTGTGAAGCCCTTTTTGTTCAAAGCAATGATGACAGCATGTGTTTCCTTGCAGGTAACCATGGTTAACAGAGGAAGAACAATGATTTCAAGCACCACCCTCCTTTTAAAGCTTCCAGTCTGTTATTCTAACTCAATCAGCATGACAGAGTGATCTCCAGTCTTGTCCTCGTCAACACTCTCACCTGTGTCAACGAGAGAATCACTGACAAGATGTCAGCTGGTCCTTTTGTGGCAGGGCTGAAATGCAGTGAAAATGTTTTTTGGGATTAAGTTCATTTTCATGGCAAAGAGGGACTTTGCAATTAATTGCAATTCATCTGATCACTCTTCATAACATTCTAGAGTATATGCAAATTGCCATCATAAAAACTGAGGCAGCAGACTTTGTGAAAATTAATATTTGTGTCATTCTCAAAACTTTTGACCACGACTGTACATGACGTTATCATAAACATCACATAACATACAATGGCAGTTGATTTTGACAATTTGTGTCGCATCACCAGACTCCACCATAAATATATTAGAAAGCATGACACAGTGAAACATGGTGCTGTTTAAGCTTTCAGTGAGGTTTAACTGTGTCTCCATGGTCTACTGACCTATATCTTTGAATTTCTCCTGTGAAATGTGTGCCTCTCAGTACAATGTTAGTAGGTGAAAGGAACTAGGTCCCCAGTCCTCATGGTCTTTGTCTATTACAGGTGTTTGGTTCGACTGGTGCTCTCAACAATAGAAAAGGCCAGTGGGGAGATAAGGTTTGATGATATATCGTTAAACATGATGCATCATACAATAGTGTTTAAATGGTCCATTTCATTTGACATTTTAGTAACTTAGCCGACGCTCTTATCCAGAGCGACTTACAGGAGCAATTAGGGTTAAGTGCCTTGCTCAAGGGCACATCAATATATTTTTTTCACCTAGCCGGCTTGGGGATTCGAACCAGCGACCTTTCAGTTACTGGCCCAATGCTTTTAACCGCTAAGATACCTGCTGCCCATTTCTACAGTGTTTCAGTTGTGGTTGATTTACTGTTTCAATCTTCTCTGCTTGTTAACATTTCCTCTATATATAGACATGCAAATCTGGATGTTCTGCTGTCATATCTAAAAATGGGTGAGTACAAATCACACTTACAGCAACATCTTTCTCACCTCAATATATGAGTACTCTGAGGTAATGCATTAGCAGTGTTTCCCCTACATTAATTTAGTAGCGGCGCACCGCCGCTGCTAAATCGTTCCCCCACTCCTAAAAAAATGTGTGCCATTACCCTAGCTACATTATTATGTAGAATTGGCTGGTGATGTCATTGAGATCAAGAGATAAAATGAAACTGTCCTTGATTAACAGATGAGTTTCAAAGGAAGAGAACGTAATTGAATTTTCATACATTTTGGAGTAGAATGTCCTTTAAAAAAAGTCACCAGAAGTGACCTTCTCACAGTCGTTCAACATGCCCCCCCCCCCCCCCCCCCCCCCCCCCCCCAGGAAGACTCCCCCACTACCTCTGTCTTTCACCCAGCCAGAGTTTGTTTGTTGTTTACTGTCACCACCACAGCACTGCAGAAAGTGTCACAGCTCAGCCCAGGGCCTAGCATGGCTGTGGAGCAGCGCACAGAGGCGGCCAACTGGTTCAGGAAGATTGGTACTTACATACTATCTGAACATATACTGTTATTTATCTCACTCTTGTACAATTATTACATTTACATTTTATCTGAATCATCTTGCTATTTTACGAGTTAAAGTAGCACTGTAAGCAGCATAGTTCACTGTACATTTAGTTTCATCTTATTTCTGTGTGCACGCGTGTGCGTGTGTGTGTGTGTGTGTGTGTGTGTGTGTGTGTGTGTGTGTCTTAGCTTGGAACTCTGCGCTGCAGTGTGAGAGCAGCCCTGACAGGATGAGGGATTTCTTTGTGTTCTCTTACCAGGCAAGTCCTCTTATTAGCATCACCGGGAGAATTGATCTGTATCTGTGCAGGTGTAGATCAATACAACCCACAGGGAATTAGTGTTGTCAAAGATAAAGAAACATGGAGCCCTGCAGCTTCCACACAAAACAACTTGGTCAGTCGTTATACCCTCACACCCCTAAAACACACAGACACGGACCATCATGCAGGCACCCTCCGTTTAATGCGTTCTCTGTGTTGTGGTCCTTGATCTTTATGGTTCTCTTAATATATATATATATATGTGTGTGTGTGTGTGTGTGTGTGTGTGTAACCCTAGCTGTCCCAGTTCTGCCCCCCGGACCGGGCCGTGTTGATGGGCCAGAAGACGTGCCTGCTGATGGCTGCTGCTGCCTCTCTGGAGATCTGCAGGAAGTCTCCACACTCTGACCAGGTGTGTACCACCCTCTCTTTCGCTCTCTTGTCTCTCTTTCTCTCTCTCTCTTCTCTCTTGTCTCTCTCTCTCTGCCTGTCTTCCACATTTAGCTCCCTCTCCATCCTCTTGGATGGAAATTTACCAAGACCAGCGGAGAGGAGAGGTGACAAACCGTGTTATCAGTGCTGGCGTAGGTGGTTATTTTTAATCCTGCTGTTGTGGGTAGCGGCCACCAGGTGGCGATGATAAATACCGAATGACAATGTCACTGTGTCTTCATGTTTAGACCGAGCAGCTGACACAAGCCCTGGAGCACATTCAGATCTGCTGGGAGGTCTGGAAGACTCTTAAAGCATCAGGTGGCCCTAATTATCCCTCCTCTTCCATTCCATACTGTGCTCTGCTCAATTCTGCCATGATGTTGGATTACTTTGTGAGGAGAATAACCTGACATCATTTGACACTCATGCCCAGGGGACAACTCCAAGGACCCAACTGACATCTTGCTGCTGCTGTATGAGTTTGAGGCTCGTGCCAAGCTCAATGATCCCAAGGTGGAGACAGTGCTGGAGTCAGTGCTGGAGCTGGATAACGTTGAGACCAAGGTGTTGGAGACCATGGCAGGTGAAGAATTAACACCGTAGTTGACCCTCTCCTTAAATGACTTGTCCTCCTCATCCAGTGTTTTTTGCTCGGCCACATAGTTGTGTATTGAGTATTGTGATGAGTGTGTTTCTTCTGTCCTCAGCCTTGGCCATGGAGCCTCCTGCCCACTTCCCTCTGCTGTGTAAGAAGGCCTTGAGGATCGCTCTGTCTCTGCACAGGAAACGACCACAAGCAGACCTGGCCCACTGCAGGTGTGCGCATATCTCATCGCCCACAATTTACCATTGGTTCACTGAACGGGTCTTTCAGAGACTGGTATATTATCCAGTCAGATATTAGCTGTGACAGAGCTCCAATGTGTCCGTGCGTAGGTTTCTGTGTGTGATGTCTAACTCCCTCTCTATCTCCATGCCCCCTTTCAGCCAGTGTGTCCACAGCCTGATCCAGCTGTCGCTGCCCAGCGGCGTGTCGGATGTGGAGGCCCGTGTGCTGGAGGAAGTATGGGGCTACTATGAGGAGGCCCTGTCCATCATCACAGCCTCAGTGAGTCGGCAGCAATCTCGCGCCACCGCCGCCACCCCCGCATTGTAATTAACCCCCCTCGTCCCTCCGCCGCTGCACTGAAAGCATCTCCTGTTTGTTTTTATCAATGGGCTTTCAGCAGCACTTCATTTAGCAGATGCTTCCATCCACCATCTCTTTCCTGCCAATGTGAATGGTAATGTGCTGTACAAGCCATCGCTCTGCTGATAAACTGGTGAAAACACGCATCAGAGTATTGAAGCATTACCAAGCTTTATGTGCGCAGGCACATTGTCATATGCAGAGTTGCAACTTGAAGCGCTGCCATGCAGATTTTCCATTACACAACCTTGTAATCGATACATTAAAACAATGGATGGACAAGTGCCTTAAATCAATATATATCAAAATCGCATACATTTTAATCTTCCTCAGAAGTGAGCGTGGTCCTGTATAAAATCCCATATTTTCTGACACTCCCAGTGTCATTCCCAGACTGACTATAGACACTGAAAGCCCCATTCATAGGCATACCTGGACTCGAGGCCAGGTGAGTTATCATCACAGGTGCTCCTAGGCAGGTGGACGGCAGCAGCTTGAATGTGTTCGTTGTCTCCTCTGTGCCTCCCTTCCAGCCTGAGGACTTCCCTGAGATGGAGATCCTGTGGCTGCTGACCCGAGCCTGGAACACAGGCATCCTGCTGTACAGCCTGGCCCAGTACCCCGAGTCTGAGAGGTGGTGTGGCCTGGGCATGAGCTTCCTCCGCCACCTGGGCTCCCTGCAAGAGAGCTACCAGACACAGGTACTACTGACTGACTGACTGGGGGAGGGAGGGGGAGAGGGGACAGCAATGGAGTGTGACAGGGCTGAGTCATCCGGAGTCAAATGAGAGGCCTCAGCCCAAGGAATACTGATAAGACGTCTTAAATTAGAAAAGTTTGACTGTATACCTGTTACTGGAAAGAAATATAGACCTAGCCATTTGTTTCTTAATTAGATTGCTAGTATCCGGTATTGTTTGTCTGTCCACAGATGTCAGGTCTGTACAGTGAGGTCCTGGACAGGCTGGACAAAGCCAAGAAGAACCTCATCATGGAGGAGTGATCGTGCTGGTTGAGCTCTGCGGAGCACTTTTAATGTCAGGTGCCTGATATCATCCATGTGGTAGCTGGAATGGTGGTTTACTGTATGAAGTCTTACTGGTTCTGGTTCTTGTATGACTGGTCTCCAGTTTAGTCAGCTCCTCCAGGATGTCAGTTGCATCCTGCCCTCCCCCAATATTTCCCTATGGAGAGTTTAGTTAACCATTTCTAGCTTTTGTAGTTTATGTTTTGGTACTTATCTACATTAATATAACTTGTAAATTATGCCTCCAGGATATATTACATTCATATTAATTTTACATTGTCTTATTTAAACAGCCAATACCAGTGGACTTGATTTGGTGAGAATAAAACACATCAAAATCATATAACCGAGTCACATTTTATTTTCAAACAAATAAACTCTTGTCCAGTCCAAACCTAAAACCCCAAACAAAAAAAGTTGCAGGTCTGTGCTCCCTTATGACTAGGACAGGGAAGACCATTTGGCCCAGCGTCCTGATAGGCTCGAACACCTGCAGTGTGACAGGAAGGAAACTACTGTACAATCAAAGGGTTTGCAAGCACTTACTGCACAGGTGTGCTGTCACAAACAACTCATCACCCAAAAGGACAAACCAGAACCCGACAACCCCACCCAGAAAAGCTTACGTCATCTTGACTCTCACTGGAACAAAGACCATCATCAATTATACACACACGGGCATTCAGGTTCAATCTTGTTATACCGCAATCTCAAATGGAAATAATTAAATAAAATCAAGTTCTTTGGGCTTTATTGAGATGATGGCTGACCGAGAGGTATAGATATACCAGACACATTAACAGTCAGCTGTGTTTCAACTAAACACCAGAGAGGACCAGTTCTAAAACGTCTAAGTCAGATATTGATCAATACTCCTCCCTGGATTTTGGAATATATTGTAGGTTGCTGCCTGCTTCTGGTCTCCATTCTTTCTTTTTTGAATCTATTTTCCACAAGAAATAACATGTAGACAGGCCCTACTTGAGGGATTTAAATTCCCAACTGACTAAAAAGTGTTCCAATAGGCAGCTGAATATTTGTCTATAGAGAAATACCAACATTACAACACATTTTTATGGACATTTTTAAATTATATCTCAGAACAGCTCAGTTTACTTACCTGACATTTGTGATCTATAAAAACGTGTTTTGTCCCAGTTGGTTTCACACATGCATGAAGCACAGGTGAGGGGGATCTGCTGGGGGCATATTTACATTTGACAGCTACCACACCCTTTGAAACAGTCTGTAAGCAGTTTATAAATGGCTCTGTTCCCTTCGGTTATTCCCTGAACTCTGGTTTTGACACAGGTAATGACAGCTGGTTTAGCAGTGGTGACTGGCAGGCGGGCACACCTGTTCAGAAAATGCCTGCATGTACAGGTGCTTTGGGTGGGGGTGGGGGTGGGGGGGTGGAGCAGGGGACCCAGAGGGCAAGGTGACCACTTCCTTCGGGCATACAGAAGATGGTCTGGCTCTGAGGCGTCTGAGGAAAACCCTTTCCCCTCTTCCAAAAAAGGTGGAAAATTAAATGTTCACAGGTAGGGGGCCACAGTATTCCTTCTTCTTCAACAAGAGACACGTTCCCTCACATGAACAAATAAACACACAGTGCCAAGATCAGCAAAGGAAGATTTGGCGGGTCATTTCAATCCTGTTGAATCCATAAAGCTAACTCAGGCCAGGGTTTACCACAGAAGTGGTCTTCACAAAGCTTCACCACATCTTAAGATAGTCATAATACATCTGCTTATTAAAGAGTTCAATGCAAATGCCTTTAAAAATCTCAGACCATTCGGTCAGTTACTCTTTCATTCACATTTAACATCTGTGAACTCCTCATTTCTCCTTTCAAACATGGCGTTTCAGTCGCAGGGGAAATTATATCGGTGCGTTAGATTCCTGAGCTGACCTAGCTCGCCCCAGACATACCATTGGGTTCATAACACAGTGGCTCAACACATGCCCAGAACAAATTCAAAAAAATATTACAACTTTATAGATACACAGAGCATATAGGTTTTAATCAAACCCTTCTTAAGTGTTATTTTTTGGGGGGAAGGGGACAATCCAAAAACAGGTTATATTGACTCTTTAATTGTTAGAAGGACATCCAATACAATATGTCTTGTTCTACCCGTTTTAAGGCCACCTTCAGGGTGGCATATACAGGACAGTACCATGTGACCATTCAATCAAAGAGAATCATCTTGGAAGGCAGAGAGTGTAATAGGGTGGTCTGCTGCTCAACATGGGTGAGGGAGCTATGGCTGCCCAAATTGGAATCCAATAAATTCTTCTTAAATTACAACAGGAAAAGGGTAAAAATACAGGGGGAAGATGGGAATTCACAGAGGTGAGAGATGCGTTCGGTCTATTGCACTCACAAGTTAGGCCTCCTGGAAGTCAGGAGGACAACGCAGAAAAATAATAATATGTTTCCTGTTTTTTCCTTGTCAATTATTTGTAGCTTCCCTCACAAAGTACAGGTAGTAATATAACAATTTGTATTTGATGTAAGGCAGTTTGGTGTTTTGCAGAGAGCCCCGTTACACTTCTCTACCCCCATCCTTTACACAGAGCAGCTAAAAACCACAAGCAAAAAATCCCACAAAAATAAAAAAAGAATGAACTCTAACAGCCCTCCAAGTAGACAATTCTAGTGAAATGTAAAACGTGTCGTTTTTAATATGTAGTAAAATCTCAGTAGGATTTGTTCATTTACCTTGTGATTTCAGTATATAAATGTAGAGATTCATAACTCATTTCTTTCAGTTGTTCTGCCTCCCAAGAGGTCTTGATCAGCTGCAGCAGCACCAACAACTGGCAGCTGATCAAACAGCAAGCTGGTTTGTGATAGATCACCAGTCTGTAGGCTTCTCCACCACTTTCTTCAGTAATTATAAACAAGAGAGATGACTCCTCCAACAGTACCATCAGCTGGGCTTGATATTATCCAGTCCTTGTAGAAAAACCCCCTAAGTGGTCTTTGCTTCTCGTCTTTAAAATGTGATTTGATGAACATTTACAAAGTGTTCCAACTTGTATGCTTAAGTCTCCATTCCCCTGCAACTCCTCCTCACTCCGGCGTCATCTGGAAAACATTCTGATCTTCAACTGTCAGTCCCATTTCACAAAATAAGGATTATTTCTCCTTTTCCGTTTTTTGTTTGTTTTAAAATGACAAATTCGGAATGGCATTTCCAGTCTTGAATGGATTTGCTGAGAAACTCATGCAGGGTTGTGCACAGTCACAGGAATGGTGATAAGACTTATTTTCATTTGAGATTAACATAATGATGACACTAAAACTTGATATGAAACATCTGCAAAAAAGGGGAGGGAGGAGCTATTTGGGGGATAGGCGGGGTGTCAGGAGGGGTGTGGGGGGCTCTGCACTGACACAGAGGGGTACAGCTGGGAGCTCAGAGCTTCTCGGAGGAAGGTATCCAGATGTAGGGGCCCGACTGTTCCTCGATGATCATCTTGATTTTGTTGTAGATCTCCTCTAGCGAGTCACCCTGTACAATGGCTGGAGACGGACAGAGAAGCAAATATAATGAGTGCATTGATGCATTAAGATTCCTACTCGCCCTACAATACGATTCAAGCATATCTAAAATATGTATAATCTGTGAATAATCTAAAAACTAAATCAAAAATAAACTAGTGGATTTACCTGTGAAAAATTCTCCAAACTCTTGTTCCAGCTTAATTGCCTTATCAAAGATTTTATTGGATTGCTCAAATGTCTGTCTCTTATTCATCTCCCTGCAACACAGGCATGGTTGGTTAGTGTGTAGTACAGGAAGTGATTGTTGTATGGAGTTACAGTAAAGTGAAAAGCTGTTAACAGTTCATTTGTTCCAAGAACACACACTTACATAAGAGTTTCAATGGATTTTGGTTTGATGAAAATTGCGATCGAATAAAGTTGTGCTTGTTGCAGTCGCTTTATAGCATTCCCAGACACGTCCAGGATACAGTGTTTTCCCTTAATGAAGAGGAAGGAGAGAAAGACCACTTGAGTATCAAAATACCACATATTTTCTCAGGCTTTACATCCATTAAGAATTAATCAGAAATTAACCTTGTGTATACTGCACATTTATGGTGTGTGTGGTGCTCCCTACCCTCTCAGCCACTGCTCTGACAGACAAGATGCTGGTCCCATAGAGGTTCTCGTTGAACTGGCCTGCCTCGATGAATTTATTATCCTGAATGTCCTTCTCCATCTGCTCCCGTGAGCCCACAAAGTGGTAGTCCTGGCCGTCCATCTCGTTCTCCCGCCGCGGACGTGTCGTGTCTGCACAGATAGGACAGATTCAAATGACTGTTAGAGAGATGCCACTAAAACACAGGATATACACCTTTTCCACCAGTGTTTCCATAAGTGGCTGTGATAATGTGATGCATGTTGTCGAGTGGTCTACTCACGAGGAACGCAGGAGCCAAACTTGTGCGGGAACTCTGAGATCAGGTCATCATTTACTCTATCTTTCATTGGGCCCAAGATGATCACAGGCCTCGTGTAATGAACTGCAAACGAGAGGAGGGGGCGCAGGTCAAAACTCATGTCTGGAATAAGATACACATGAATGGTCTCAAACCCTCTCCTAAATGGAGGAGAACCTACAGTATATTACACTTACTCTCCTGTCGAATCACTGGCTCGTATGAGAGAATTGTGTCTTCCTGGCCCTCTGAACAGCATGAGTAAAGAGAAAACAAATCTTTATTATAGTCCCATGACAATGGATTACCAGATGTGGTTGATAGTAGTGGAATGTTTAAAGTACTCTCTTCACGCAGTCACATTTTCCATAACAGCACACGACAGAGATATGGTTTTACTAAGTGCCCGATACCATCTCAGTGGAATGCCAGCTCACTACAGCACCGAGGACTAAGATAAAACACCGGTCCGGATACAGGTGTAATGACGTGCCGCATGCTTTTCATTTAGGTGGATTATGTCCGAAATAAAGCATTACAAAAAGTGAAGGAAAATAAGGTTGCTTACTTGAGCTGCTTTCACTGTCGCTTGTGTTTGACGTCAGGCATTCTGCAAGGAGAGGAACATGTTTATGTTGGGGAAAGCTCAAAGCTGGGCAGTAGTAGTAAAGCCACATCAAAATAAATTGGTTTTCATTTTCGTGAGGGAAAAATTTTCACCACCAGTCGCCGAGCATCAAGAAGGAAAAACAAGTCCCCTGTTGTCCCACTGCATATAACCCAATGAAAAGGAAAACGGACAGAAAGAGGAAAAAAATGAAAAGAAAACAGTCTTGTTCAGAGTGACAGCGCTGTCTACATGGGGAAGTGGTTGGAAGTATGCAGCAATAGGAAATTAAGTGTTTCCTTTCACAAAATCCCAAGTGACCCTCCGGGTCCCTTGCCAGTGTTTCCTATGGAGGGGTCTGTATCTGTGACGCCAGATACAGTGTCAGGGACAAGCCAAAGAAAACAGTGGCGGTTGGCCTGTTAACAAGGATGCATGGGCACTGGGCAGTCAGCTCAGCTTGCCAACAGGGAAAAGCAGAATAGCAAAAGCAAACCCTGTCCAGTGTAGGGAGGGAGATACTAGGTTTCTCCAAGTAATCACTCTCTGACAATGACCTACTACATTTTTATAGTAAAATCCCTACAGGGAAGAAGGAAGTCAGACAAGGTGTAACACTTGCCCTCTTGTTCTCTTACCCTAGGGCTGTGTGTTTGTAAGTGTGTGTGTGTGTGTGTGTGTGTGTGTATATCGGTAAGCAAGTGTATATGTTGCAGCCATTGCTAGCCGGGTCTGCATTGAACAGGCATTTAGCTCTGAGCTCAGGGGACAGCAGCTGCAGCGTGACAGTCCAACCACACACTTACTCAAACTCTTTGATCCATAAAAGTCATCGCTTAACCCTGGGAAGTCCTGAGTGTCCCGACAGGTGAGAACAGAAACAAAGAGAAGAGGCAGACAGGAAGAAGAGGTTAGTGAGAGCTGGGACAGGCCGAGAGAGAGCGAAAGAGAAAGGGAGGAGCGGTGTGCTGCTCGCCTGGATGGAGGCAAAGATGGGGGGACCAACACAAGGCACTGTGCTCCCTAAACCCTGAGCCCCACTCTATTCCCAGTGAAAGCCAAGGCCTTTAAATTACACACAGCCAATCCCATTAAGAATGGGATTTTGACCCGTTAGTGTTAATCCATTATAGTGCTGCCGTCCAGTTAATGAGATTCTAGTTCTCTGAGTCAGTAACTGGATGAGGATTGACTGGGCAGCAATGAATAGTGGGGATCTAACAGGGCCTCTATCAGCAGTACACAGTTACTGTGTTAGTGCAGCCAGAAACACACCTGACCTGGCAGCCAGCAGCACACGCCTGGAGGCTCCACCAGTTGACAGACAGACGAACAGACACCAGAGAGGCCGACACCTGAACCCCAGGCCTGGTTCTGTGTGGGTCCTCTCTGGGTGTGAGTGAATGAGCGAGTGACAGTGAGTGGGGAAAGACAGTACTGCTCACAGATAGACAGCCACGGTCTGCTCCCAGAGGTGAGTGGAGATGAGGGAAGGATGAAGCATGAAAGGAAAGCGCGAAAAGTAAAACCCCCTCATATCACACACTTTGGGTACTCACGTTCAGAATCCAACTCCTGCACAATATTCTCCTTGCTCTTGTAAAACTGGAACTTGCGTGAGAGGTTGAAGCTTTTTTTGCGCTTTACTTTGACTGGCTGCTTGGAGATGTGCGTGATGAGGGGAGGGGGGCGATGGGGGATGAAACAAAAAACAGAACAGAATGTTGTTCAATGAGGACACCAAACACACATGCAAAACGAAATAAAACAGACAAAACTCAATAAAAAAATGAAAGCATGAACATAAATGAAAGCAGATAACCAGGGTAAAATGAATGGAACACTTATGCAAAGGGCAGATGCCATTTCCATTTTGATCCTAGAAATGGTATATACACGAGCGAAAATTGCATTCCTTTGAGCGAGCATATCATTACAGGACTATACAGGTGTCAAATTATTACATGAACACCATGTGAAAACAAGACAACCAATTAATACTTTCACCAACTGAGAGCCTACATTTGTGAACCAGGGGTTTCTTACATTGCCTGATGTACACTAAGACTTTGTATCACATTAAAAACACTAATTGCACTAAATAGGATAGTGACAGGTTAAATGATTAAGCATTGAGTCAGTTTATAGAGAGGCGGGACTGTCTGTAATGTAATATATATATATATATATATATATATATATATATGAGTCTTTGGTTTCTCCACTAGCTCTAATGAGCAGCCAGGTCCCTGCTACCCGCTCCTGTTCCCACACTGCCTGCCTCGAGGGGGAAGTGGGTCAGCTCCCTGGGTGCCCACTGCCAGGCAGGAGAACCAGAGAGCACAGCCCTCCAGACTCACCCTGTTGGACTCGATCATGCCCGTCCTGGCGTGGAACTTGACTGTTTTTAACCTCGCTCGCTCTTTCTTCTCCACCCTGCATAGAAAGTGACATTTCAGATATCTACTGAGGCACTTTGAGTCACACAACAGCAGCACATTTTGGGTGGTAAAAGGGGGATGAGGTTACCTCTTCTTGCTTGGAATGACCCCGATCTGCTCGCTCTCCCCGTGGGGCGTGACCAGACGTGCCTGCCACCACTCGTCATCGGAGGCGTTGATGACATGCAGGATATCCCCATAGGAGAAGCTCAGGCCCTGGCTGGGCAGACAGCTGTCTCTGGCCCGGTCATAGTCAAAAAGAGCTCTACACACAGAGACAGGGGAGGGGTGTTTGTGTCAATCACTCAACAGCATATACAGTTTTACTGCACCATACTAGTAACAGGTTCTGAAGTTTAAAACCCACTACCTCACATGATGAAATTTTACAATGTTATTACAAAACACACTGGTTTCTTTGTTGTCACAGTTTCCATGACTTCTGCTATGAGTCTGTCGGTTCCCTGTCAGACAGGTCAACCCACTGCTATTTTACAGGGAGGAATTCCTGCTCTACAGGTTCCCCTACTGCCACCAACCCAGCACCAATCTGACCTGGATCTGCAGAACACTTAGTGGTCCAGTGTGGCGTTGCTATTACCAGTGTGTTCTCCCTATTAGCTGCCCGGTCGGAAGTATTCAGACTGCCCTGATACTTGCTACCTGCAGGTAATGGTATCGAGTCTCACTGCCAGGTTACATGACTGCCTCCCCTGCCTCCCCTCACACAGGCATTCAGATTGTACCCTGGCTGTGTGTGTGTGCGCACCTGAGAGGTCTCACATTCCAGAGGATAGGCTGGCTGGGGAGAGGTCTGCTCTACTGCTGCTGCAGTGGAATGAAACAAGAGCCTTTTCTTCCATAACTGTATGTTTAGTCACCCACACAGAGGAACGGCTGGCTCTCCCTGGCTGACAGGAGACTTATAGAGCATTAGTCATCCTGGTTTACATTGTCTACAGGTGGTCCAATGAGCTACAGTCTTGATGGGGGACAACAATGGGAAAATGACAGAACATTATCTTACTTTGTTTATTGACTGTTTCTGCTTTAGGACATTGAAGTGATTACACATCGTTCATTTCAAGTATTTGATCTAGCTTGTGTTCATAGTAAGCCTTGAATTTGGAGATGCTTCCTTCTGTCAAGAATCTCCATAAAATCTGATCTGAAAATGTTGCTATTATTGCAGGGGTTGGAAATATTGGCTTTATGTGACGCAGCACCACAGCACTTCCCTTGAAATATGGTTCCAGTACCTGGCACATGAGTGTTACATCATAGATTAATACTTTTCCCCTTGACCCCCCCAGAGCACTTCCTGTTCCGACTCAGGCAGCTGCATTCATTACAGCAGGGGGGGGGGGGGGGGGGGCTGCCTGGCACCTGTTGCTCTTCCTGACTGGGGTTCCTTACAGTTTTGGCTTCATGCCCACAATGTAATAACATTAAGATACCAGGAGTACTTTCGCCAGCCATAGGCTGCAACTAGGTAATATAGGTCATGTGTGGCATCCAACTGAAAAGCTTGCGCATCAAATTCATCATATGAGCAGATATTTTGCATCCGATAGTCTCATCGTGACCTACTTTGTGCTGATGAAAAAATCGTAGTATTTGTGAGTGGTGAGCTATACATGATGAATTTGGGAGCGGTGTGTTCTTTTTGTGTGTTCTAGTACCTGACGTAGAGGGAGCGTTTCTCGCTGGTGCGCAAGGAGCCCGAACCCAGAGCTCATGCTACTGTTCATCATCTGTTCCCTCAGGTCGTGGATCTTCGACTCAAACCGGCTGTACTCTGCAGGGACACACACAAACGGTTTAAAAATTCACAATGTCACACACACTGTTTCACCCCCTTTCATTCTCACAGAGAATCTGATGAATGGTTGATGTACTTGCAGGGACAGACACACAATGCCTAAAAATACCATTGTTATTTGCTTCACTCTCCAGCGCAAATGTTAAAAACAGTAACACACATGGCATGGTTCAATGCAAAGTGAACCCAGTCCTCTACTAGTGTCTCCTGGCCATTGTGTGTATATGTGTGTGTGTGAGGATCAGTGCTCTGGTGAACAGAGTGAGAAAGTGGTGGAGTCCAGGTTCAGCAGCGGCTCATTTCAGCCTGATTAATTACCTCAGGACCAGATGGAGCTTCATCATGTATCTGCCTTACACATCCACTAATATCTTATGTCAGGTCATTAATTATGCATATTAATTAAGTAGGTTCAACATGGAACTAACATGATTTTTTTTTAAAGGAAACTAGCCACTCCAACCCGTTTGAATGGACGACTATTTGTCATGGTGTATAAAGCCACCGCTTCCTTCCTGTATGGCCCAGGGAGGCAGTCGCAGAGCTGAAATATGAATCCACCTGCACCTCCTCATAAACATGCACTCATTAGGCTAGCAGGGCAGTGCAGTTAGTGTGTGGCCAGGCTGCTGGAACAAGCCAAGCAACCAACCCATAGTACACGTACACACACACTATTCCGCTTTGACTCAGCATTAAAAATGTATGCCATTGATTTAAAAGTTTAACAAACCATACAACTCTTTGCACAAGGAATACTTTTAACAATTTCCATTGACTTAGTGGATGAACTGCAGATGCAAACTTTGGTAACAGAATTATGGTAAACTCTCCCTCAGGTTTTTATGCGACTACGTTTTCCAAAAACGTAAAATATCTGCTTCAAATAAAGATTCAAAGATGTCTGCAGAAAGAATTGGGTGTCAGCTATGACATGGCACCTTGAGTTTGAAAAATATATATTTTGGTTATTGAACTACAGTAAGTGAAGTGGATTTACACCCGGTAACGGAATTACATCATGGGTCCCTGAACTACACTACAAAGAAATGCATCATTATGGATAGGAATGTCACTCTCCTCATGTTTCACAGCACAGTAGAGAACAGTTCAGTACAGCACAGCGGAGTTCAGTACAGCAGGATTCCGCGTTTTCCACACTGAAAAGGAAAGACCAGACACTGTATCTTGCGGTCTTTCATAAACGCAGATCTAAAAATGGCTTCTTATTGTAAATTCTGCTCGGCTTTAGTCAGGGTTCGCTCCAAATCATGAATGTAAAAGGAGTATTTTCATGCTTCAGTTGCATTTCTCCATCAGATGAAATATATTTGCTCTCGACATTGGTCCACCAGACAGCGCTCTGACTGATGTGTAGGCTACTTTCCCCCAGTAATTTCCTCCTGTGTAGTTTTTCTCCAGTAGAAAGTTTAAATACAAGATTAACTTCAAGCAAAAACATTAGGAGATGTAGCTGGCTACATTCTTTTTATGATAAAAATTTGAAATTCGACGGCCATGCATCGTTTTTGCTTTTTGATTGTAAGCCAATTTACTTGTGTGGCTGCTAGCCATATAGCATTGCACTTCTGTCTGTTGTCATCTGATCAAAACGATTTTCTGCCGAATGTGTTGCACTAATGTATTTTGTGTGATGAAAACATATATAGTTGCACGCCCCTCATCTCTATTGAAGCAAAATAACACCTGACTTTCACAATATAAAACAAAAGGTGAAATGGTTTAAAACAGATTTGATGTTCTATGTTTTTGAAAATGCAGATTTCTGAAAGCTTATGCGACCCCTGTACAGTACAATATACTGTACTCTACTGTATTGGACTGGCCTGTGCTCTACAATTTATTTATTTTACCTTTATTTAACTAGGCAAGTCAGTTAAGAACAAATTCTTATTTACAATGACGGCCTACACCGGCCAAACCCGGACGACGCTGGGCCAATTTTGCGCCGCCCTATGGGACTCCCAATCACGGCCGGTTGTGATACAGCCTGGAATCGAACCAGGGGGTCTGTAGCGACACCTTAAGCACTGAGATGCAGTGCCTTAGACCGCTGCCCCACTCGGGAGCCCAATACTCAGTACTGTACTCTACTTTGCTGAGTACTGTAATGTACTCTGTTCTCTACTCACTGTACTGTGCTATCCAAACTTGTAAAACATAAGTCTGTGATAGGTTCAGATTTGGTCCTGACCAAATTTCAACTACTTTTCAGCGTCCATGGACATCCGGTGTCTGTTGGTGCTCAGTGGGTGAGGATGCTGATTTCAGTAAATGGAAAGAGAGGGGGCTCATAGGTAGGTGTCAGTAAGATCCGGGAGAGGTGACATTAACTGGAGAGTGAGAACGAGAGAGAGAGAGAGAGAGAGAGAGAGAGAGAGAGAACAAGAGAGAGAGAGAGAGAACAAGAGAGAGAGAGAGAGAACAAGAGAGAGAGAGAGAGAGAGAGAGAACAAGAGAGAGAGAGAGAGAACAAGAGAGAGAGAGAGAGAGAGAGAACGAGAGAGAGAGAGAGAGAGAACACGAGAGAGAGAACGAAAGGTTGTCTAGACTCAGACTGTTTTAACAAACTTGGTTAGACCACCAGACGACAGAAAGACAAAGAAAAAAGTTATGAGCTGAACATAACAGTTAGCCAGTGGAATGGAGGACAGTAGCAGGTAACACAACTGTGGTTTGTGACTATTATGATTTCCCATTGTAGCCAATTCAGTTGCAGAAATTCCATTAGTGATTTTTTTGCTAATTCTGTTACCAATTTGGTAATGGAATTATGAGTTTTAAATCACTTAATTCATAAACAAAATTGATAGTAAAATCACTATAACTCATTGGTAAGGTCTACCATTACTTGTTACTTCTGTGAACTTCCACTATCCTCCCTCGTGAGGGAGAGAAATTAGAAAATATCTTAAAAGATGTGTGGGTTTGTTGTAACATAAGGGACAAGGCTAGATTTCTTAAACTTAGAAGGTAAACAATTTCTCCCAAACTAAATATGTGTTGATATTAGTGGCAGAGGTCTTTATGTCAACAGTGTATTCTGATGCATTTCTGACACCTCTTAAGACTTTTCTGGTAGATGTTTTCTTAAACCCCTTTTCCATGTTCATCCAGAAATCAAAGCCTTTATTTATGGCTAATTTTTTTAGTTAGAAAATGGTTGATAAATGTATCTATGCCTTAATTTCCCCAAAATATAAACTTTTCGCTTCATTTAACACCCAATTTGATATGCTCCTATGAACGTCACGTTGGTGCTAATGGGTCCTTTTTGATGGAAATGCCCATAAGGCAAATTACATGTGGGGGTAAAACATTGATTCCAACAATATTGTGTCAAAGAAGCAACAGGTGCAGATGTTCCACTTTGACAGTAACATACTGGACAAAATGTCATTCATTCCATTGAGTAATAATAACCTACTGTTAGGCCTTACCAAATACCATTTGCTGTGAAGTCATCACTGTCGACAAATTAAGTATGTGCCAACTTCAAAGGTTTCACTTTTAAAACAGAGTTGTTTTCAAACTAAATATTGTTGTTCAATGAGACAGACTCCCAACCCCGTAAGGGTGTTACTCACCTTAGAAATCAGTCATCAGCTGGTTGGAAACACTTTTCCTTTCCAACATGATAATGATCAGAGATCAATGTCCAGATATCGTGCACCGCAATGCTCTAAAAAGGTAGCCTCGGAAAAACAACCAACCATTCCGCCAATGATGATTTAGGCTACTCCAAGTTCTCCGTAAATAAACCCAGTCAGGTGTGAAAACAAGGTTAGGCAGTTCTCTCCGGCAGTAGGCCCCCGGCCTCAACTCTACCCCCCAGTCAAAACCCAAAGCAGAGAGGTTTCAAAGGAAACAGAAACCACGCCCAAGGCCTGCTGTGTACTCTCCACCCTGCTCTCTCTGGCTGGAGTTAACATACAGGAGAATGACACAGCAAGGTGAGGTAACCAGACACCACCTGCCTGCCTGTAGCCAGGGGCAACGCTACTATCAGAAGCCACTGAACTGCGGAAGCAGCCAGGCAGACTAGTCCACTTGGCTCTCAGGCACAAGGGAGGGGAGAGAAAGGAACAATGCTTGAAGCAGGATATAAGAGGAGGGAAGGACAACAACAAAAAGACTGAAGGAGAAACCAAGACAACACAGTGTCCTATTTCCAAGAATATCAACACAATAACACATCGTTAGTGAACGCTTCCCAGAGCAATGGAGGAGAGAGTGGAGTGGGTGGGGGTGGTATGGCCCTCACTCCTAAAGGTCTGTAAGCAGCAATGTCCCTTAAGTCCTAACCACCAGAAAGAAAGACGTTGAGGGGCAGGACCACCGTGCAGCCCCCGTCCAGCTGCCAGGCTCCACAGAGGAAACAGCTGTAGTCTGCAGTCAGCCTGGCTTTCTGAGGGGATTGAAGCCCTGCAATCTGTTACAGAGCAGAGTCACTAACCAAGTCAAAACATAGGAACAACAATATAACATCTACACTACCAAAAATAGCAAACTCTTATCGGAGTAAGTACGATAAGAGTACATTTTGGAAGAAGTAGAGGAAGACGAGAACAAAAACTTGGTCATTTCTGCATCTCACTATCTTCTACTACTTGTCCTCAGTTGTACAGTCTTATTTTGGGGGTGGAGGGCTGCCTGCTTTTCTCTTCATCCAGTTATGCAACAGCCCAGGCATGTGTTTGTAATATGAGCGTACAGTGCTATCAAAGATTTGTATAACTAACCCAAGATAGGCTCTGGTCTGTCATTTCCAATGGGAGTAAATTAATGATAGTGGGCAGAACAAGCAAGGAGGTGGGCAGAGCCAAGCACGGGCTAATGAGGTCCTATTGGCTCGTTCTAGCATTTATTTGCATATTTCCATTAGGGAACGCCTACTTTGTGAAGTGCGCGTGTGCAATAACTCAATTCGCCCTTGCCCTTGACATTTTGGCAAAGGGCAAAGTCTACAAAATGCAGTCCACTCTGTTACATATTCTAGTTTTGGAAACAGAAAACTGTACGGAGATCAAATGTCTCATCAACAAGAAAGATTTGCCGTATGTCAGACAAAATCCATCTCGCTCAATCTTCTCCCACTACCAGCCGATGGGCTTCCTCTCGTCACCATATTTAGTAGTGAGTGGAAATACCAACCGGATGCGTCACATGTATAAATCCGGCGAAATATATGGCTCATTGTGCCATCTGTGGTGCTATGCTGCTATGTTCTCTGGGTTAGTCTAGGTTGTGACTACTGTTTCCTGATTTCTGTAACAGAAACATGTGACCCGAGCTACAGTCTTCTGTTTCTAAAATGAGTTGTTGGGGTTGACATTTAGGGCTCCCGCATGCTTCGGTTCGGCTGGCGTCTAGCCGAAACAAACGAGTGTGCTTGCATACTCCCTTAAAAAGACTTTCGCTTGAAAAACGAGAAAAAGCGGCACTAATACCGTTTGTCCATCTTGAGACGCCATAGCATGTATATACACCTACTCAAAATAGTCCGAATTAATCTAAGATAACTCAAGAAATCTGTCATTAATTTAGACGTTTTTGTCGAGATCTTACAACTAACTAATTTTACATCTAAGATGTTTGGTGTAGTATTTCAAGTGAAAAAATGTCCATGAAAACGAGTTGTCTATCGTTGAATGACAAACACTTCATTGAAAAAACCCTTGCCGAACACCAAAACGTCACAAAATGTTGTCATAATACACTGCTCAAAAAAATAAAGGGTTACACTAAAATAAATCAAATCAAATTTTATTGGTCACATGCGCCGAATACAACAGGTGCAGACATTACAGTGAAATGCTTACTTACAGCCCTTAACAAACAGTGCATTTATTTTAAACAAAAAAAGTAAAAATAAAACAACAACAAAAAAAAGTGTTGAGAAAAAAAGAGCAGAAGTAAAATAAAGTGACAGTAGGGAGGCTATATATACAGGGGGGTACCGTTGCAGAGTCAATGTGCGGGGGCACCGGCTAGAACTTTCATTCATAACACATCCTAGATCTGAATGAATGAAATAATCTTATTAAATACTTTTTTCTTTACATACTTGAATGTGCTGACAACAAAATCACACAAAAATTATCAATGGAAATCAAATTTATCAACCCATGGAGGTCTGGATTTGGAGTCACTCTCAAAATTAAAGTGGAAAACCACACTACAGGCTGATCCAACTTTGATGTAATGTCCTTAAAACAAGTCAAAATGAGGCTCAGTAGTGTGTGTGGCCTCCACGTGCATGTATGACCTCCCTACAACGCCTGGGCATGCTCCTGATGAGGTGGCGGATGGTCTCCTGAGGGATCTCCTCCCAGACCTGGACTAAAGCATCCGCCAACTCCTGGACAGCCTGTGGTGCAACGTGGCGTTGGTGGATGGAGCGAGACATGATGTCCCAGATGTGCTCAATTGGATTCAGGTCTGGGGAACGGGCGGTCCATAGCATCAACGCCTTCCTCTTGCAGGAACTGCTGACACACTCCAGCCACATGAGGTCTAGCATTGTCTTGCATTAGGAGGAACCCAGGGCCAACCGCACCAGCATATGGTCTCACAAGGGGTCTGAGGATCTCATCTCGGTACCTAATGGCAGTCAGGCTACCTCTGGCGAGCACATGGAGGGCTGTGCGGCCCCCCAAAGAAATGCCACCCCACACCATGACTGACCCACCGCCAAACCGGTAATGCTGGAGGATGTTGCAGGCAGCAGAACGTTCTCCACGGCGTCTCCAGACTGTGTCACGTCTGTCACATGTGCTCAGTGTGAACCTGCATTCATCTGTGAAGAGCACAGGGCGCCAGTGGCGAATTTGCCAATCTTGGTGTTCTCTGGCAAATGCCAAACGTCCTGCACGGTCTTGGGCTGTAAGCACAACCCCCACCTGTGGACGTCGGGCCCTCATACCACCCTCATGGAGTCTGTTTCTGACCGTTTGAGCAGACACATGCACATTTGTGGCCTGCTGGAGGTCATTTTGCAGGGCTCTGGCAGTGCTCCTCCTGCTCGTCCTTGCACAAAGGCGGAGGTAGCAGTCCTGCTGCTGGGTTGTTGGCCTCCTCCACGTCTCCTGATGTACTGGCCAGTCTCCTGGTAGCGCCTCCATGCTCTGGACACTACGCTGACAGACACAGTAAACCTTCTTGCCACAGCTCGCATTGATGTGCCATCCTGGATGAGCTGCACTACCTGAGCCACTTGTGTGGGTTGTAGACTCCGTCTCATGCTACCACTAGAGTGAAAGCACCGCCAGCATTCAAAAGTGACCAAAACATCAGCCAGGAAGCATAGGAACTGAGAAGTGGTCTGTGGTCACCACCTGCAAAAACAGTCCTTTATTGGGGGTGTCTTGCTAATTGCCTATAATTTCCACCTGTTGTCTATTCCATTTGCACAACAGCATGTGAAATGTATTGTCAATCAGTGTTGCTTCCTAAGTGGACAGTTTGATTTCATAGAAGTGTGATTGACTTGGAGTTACATTGTGTTGTTTAAGTGTTCCCTTTATTCTTTTGAGCAGTGTATTATTTTATAGTAAATAAAGGATATTTTCTCCAAACGATTTGAGGGAGTGGCTATTCTGTGTTGAGCGGTTAAAATAAATAGGTACTCCTATATGCTTAATTTAGAGTTAATGTAACTTTAGTTGTTCTACAAACGTTGGGCTATATGTTTTGATTTTTAATACATTGTAAGGCTGCATGATGCGACTAATGATGATTTGAAAAAAGTCGCTTGAAAAGGCATGAGCTCTGCTTTGTTTTTTTGCACAGGCTGTACACCCTTCATCTGTCTCATTCACAATTTGACAAGCACTTGATGATGCCTCAAATTTTGCAGGCAGTATCCCCTTTGTGTGGCCGTAATGCCCCCTAAAAAAAATGCATGCCTTTTACGGCCAGTGGCCGTTGTGCCTTTGGGCTAAATATAATCATAATTCCCCTCTTACTGAGTCCTGCGTGCGCCGAAGCAACTCTCACTCACATGGCTCTCCATCACATGATCGGGTCTTTCTCACAGGCTATAAGTGAAGACAGACACATCGGGGAAGCAACTGCGCGCATCCTTATCCAATTCCGAGGTGCATATTGAATATATTGGAAGAACTGTCCACATTTACTTTGTCAGCCATCAAGATGAGTAGGCTTAACGAACAGCAAAAGCACTAGCCTATGTCAATCTACTATCCCCCATAGTACAAAAGTCGACCTATTCTATTCTGTGCGAGAAATAAATATTCCAAACATAGTCTGGGACAGTTGTGGGATGCGATAGATCCTAAATTAATACAACCACTTGCATAAAAAAAACTTTTTTACGCAATGAGGCTAACGCAACAGATCAGAACGTTTAGCTTAAAATGTTTTTAAACTATTAGGCTATTTCTTCACATTATAAGCGCAGCAATGCGCACACGGCAGTAGGCTTTAAGCGTGAATGTTCCATTAGCGGGAAAACATCATTATCAAGAAAACATCATTATCAAAAGTGCCGGCAAATGCGATTATGCATGAAATGCTTTTATTATAAAAGGTGCATTTTTGTGGTGGAAATTATCTTCCCAAAACTTGAAACTCACGCGCTGCTTATGTATGCCAGTTAGGCTCTACACCCATAGTAAAACGGATTAATGTGCTTAATTTTAAGAAGTTATTTGGCCACTTTAGTTGTGATACAAACCTTATTAAAACATATAGGCCTATGGGCTAGGCTACATGAGGTGTGCGGCTTTGCTTTGAAAAAGTCGTCAAAAAAAGGCATTGTTTCTTGCCTTACACTGGGCATCATTCACAAGTGATAATATATAATTCACAAGTTATAGGCTAATATTGTCACCCATCAGACTATTCTTGATTTAATCTTGTCTTTATATATACATAATAAATAATATATGTGTGACATTTGTTTTGATTTAGAATGGACTATTATCATGCACCTGTCTTGGGGCAGGGGAAAAATACATCTATGCACTTAAATAGCAAACGGAGGACGCGTTTCCCATGGTTCATTTTCATGCCAGCCAGGTAGGCTATACTCCTGTTGTAAAGAGAAGCAATGTGCTTAATATTAGGAAAGTTGAGAAATAAATATAGTAGGCCTAGCCTATAGAAAGCTGATGGGACCCTCTTTTTAATAGAGGCCATCTCACGCAATTGCATAGCCTATAGAAAATGTTGCGCAACATGAGCTCTCATTAAGTGTTTGATTACATTTGCATTGATGTCAGAGTGATTAGAGGGACAATAGAAATTTACGAAATTTCAAACAATACTAGTATTGCGTTTAATAGTAAAACAACAGTCTAGCTATGTCTCTCCCCCCTTGAGTATAGACAGGTTGGCTGTTTGGCAACAAAACCAATGTGTGAGCAACTATGGGTGCAAAACAGACAGGGTTGGCTTAGAGATTGTTGA